CATCTTCTTCTTCTTCTTCTTCTTCTTCTTCTTCTTCTTCTTCTTCTTGTTCTTCTTCTTCGTCTTCCTCGTCGTCTTCCTTCTAGTCGTCGTCGTCGTCGTCGTCGTCGTCGTCGTCATTACTTTTTTTCCCTCGATTTTATTTTCTCTCTTTGTTTTTATTTTTATCAGTTATCACGCAAACATCAAACGCGCCTTACACGTGTTCGTGTTCACGTTAGCACGCGCCTCGCGAGTTCCCTCGCAATCGCCTCTCCAGTCCACGCTTTTTTCCTCTCCTTATATCGATGCATGCGTGCGTGCGTGCTTGCGTGCTCGCGCGCGCGCCCAAGAGAAAAAAAACGAAAGAGGCACGTAAGCGGGGGTATAAAGGGACCGCCGATGCTGCGGATGCGCGATTGCTTCGGAGGTGCGCTCGTCGGATCCTCGCTACATGTATGCGTCGCGTGTAAGCTTGCACGGAATAAAGGATAGGGACACGCGAAAGCATCGCCGTGTCATTAATTAGGAGTCGTGTTTCTTCTCTGTTTATCTTAATTAATTATAGCTCCGCATCGGGATGATATGCTAAGCTAATAATTTATAGGAGCCGAGTGTACATTTTTTTAACAATTTTTTAACAAGCCATCGCGAGCGAATTGTGGACGATGTACTTTGTAGGGGTAATAAATGCTGCTGATGGGCGTCATAATGTATTTGATGGACTGTGGTGGGAGAGGGCGGGCGGGGGTGCGTCATCGTTATTCAATGCATCTACGTCGATGAGGCGAATGTAACATCGAGACTCGGTATTTATACGGAGTATAAATGGGCGTATGTATAGAGTTGATAATGTTGGTGACGTAAGGGTGATGAGGAATCTAGGGAATGTCGAGTAGTGAAGACGAGCGGGAAAAGCCGAACCAACTAGAATTCCCGAGTGCGCTGGTGCCTCGAAGTGGCACTTGTGAGCCTCCTGATTAAGTCCCCGAGTTAATCATGCGCGGTAGCGCGGCTGCGTACGCCCCTCCCTCCGACCCAAGACGGAGCCGATACGCGCCAAAGATACAGCGGGATCCAAAGAAGAGACGATGATGAAAGACAAGAAGGAAGGGACAGAGGAGGGGAAGTAAGGGTCCTACGGAGCCGAAGAGTCGAATCGTCACAGTCTAGAGCCCTTAAAGAAGGCTTGCCAGAACCTCGTGGCGCCACGACTCTAATCTGGCATTCTCCACGAGCCGTAGGCCTGCTCTCGTTTACTCTCTCTCTCTCTCTCTCTCACTCTCTCTCTCTCTCACTCACTCTCCTTTTCTTTCTCCCTCGTCTGTTCGGCTCTCTTGAGCCGTTTTCTCTCCTTCAGCCTCACGACGGTATTCACCTTGTACATACGTTCTTCGTCTTTTCTCTCTTGTGCGCGCTCACGCTCCTGTGTGCGTGCGTACGTGCGTGTGCAAGCGCTGAGTAGGCGCGCTCTCGTACGTCGGCTATTAGGATCTGTCGCTTGCACTCGAATCCCAGTCCTTTGGAATTCTCAAATTTTCCTCCTCAGTTTTACGAGTGCGAGGATGATTTTCCTCCAACTTGACTTTTTACTTTCTTTTTAAGCAGGTAGCAGTAGCCACGGTGGTATATTTCCTCAACTCAAGTATCCCTTCTGTATTGACATATAAATTTGACGCTCGTACAATGAAGGGGGACTTGCATTTTTTTACACATACCCAAGTGCGCTCAAGTACGTGCAGTTTTATTGCCATGTAAATACACGGTCGTTCACTCTCAACCTCTTCATTTTCAACTTGAGAGTGGCTTGTTTTAAAGTCTGGCACTTGCTGTGCCCTTAAACTTGAAACCCGGTCGCTCGGCTTCGGAAGGAGCGGGCATTAAAATGACTTCTGTCGGCTGAGCGTCGACGACTTAGAGATTCCGTAGTCCCGCATGAGCGACACAATTTGAGGGCTCAAGGAAATATCAAGTGCAAACGAAGAAAGAGTTCGTAAAATTGTGCGCTTATGGGCACACTTTGATCTCCGACCGTGTAAGCTTGAACAGGAGCTTTGCCCTGAACAGGCCGGGAAGGCCCAATAATGTACCGACACGAAAATCCCCTCGTACACACACGCGCGCGCGCGCTCAAACCTTACGGGAACACGTGTCTATTTAAGATGCGAGCAAACATAATTAGAGGTACTCAGGTGGACTTTTCTTACGACGCATCCCTCGAGTGGCTTGGGAAATTCTGAAACTCCGAAGAAAAATGGGTCGAGACGTAGGTCTGGGGGCGCTGAGGCCCGAAGCTCGACGGCGGGACAACGCGTGGATTGACTTTTCGGACTTGACTTACGGATTAGCCGAGTTTCGCGTCGAGATTGTTTATACAGGCGGGTAGCAGAGACCTTCGACGCGATAACATCAAAGGATTGCATCTATGTGGACTTTCGGAAGTCGCACGAGCCCGGATTGACCCTCCGGCCCCACCACTGCGCCTCTCCATCCACTTCCTCGTCTCCCCTCCTTGCTCCGTCGTCCTTTCTTACTCATCGTCGCACCACCGCATCCTTCTCCTTCCTCAAATTAACTTTACTTTCTACAGCGATTTTTAGTAACCTTATTACCTTGTTCCTGTCCCCTTCCCATACCAACGATTCGCGGTATTCAGCATTTATAAGACAATTTGAAATTTGATCCAATGGCGATGCAAATGCATTATTAATGCGTTCATTCTAAAATGTTTGGAGCAGTTATTATTTTCGAATTAAGAGGGAGAAATCTTCAATTAAATTAAAGTGAAAAGATCTTGCTTATAAACTATCTGACATTGAAATTCTTACACGGTACGTAATATAATGTACGATTATCTGAAACAAAGAGAAATTGCGCATAAAAATGTTCATGCTTGAAAAATGTTTAAAAAAAAAAACTTATACCTTCTCATTTTCTGTCCTTTTGTTCGGCCTATTTTCTGATGGGATCTACGTTTTCGTCACCAGTCGACCACAGGGTTTTCCCGACTCTAGACTTTTGACTTTGGCAAAACATTGGCATTACGTGGACTCGAGAAGACCCTCTTCTCTTTCCGTGAGTCATTGTCGAAACAAGCACTTACCTCAAGCTCCATATATTTTCGCATCATTGTGACAAAAATGAAAACGTTTGCAGGGTTTTCCCCATTCCCGTAATGTTTAATAAAATAAATAGTTGTCGCTGAGCCAAAAGAAAAATTATTCAAATATACAACTTTTCTAATAGATATCCGGACGAACTGACTTTTTCCCTTTCGAAGCGATACAGTCAGGTATTTCAGGCATTTTCGTATACAAAATATTGTAGGAAATTTCAAAATGGCGAAATACAAAATGCCATTTTGACTGAACGGATAGAAAAATATTGGTAAATTCATAGCGAATAGGAAGACACGGAGCATAATAATAATTATATTTTCGTTCTATTTTGTTGTTTCAGTGCATTAATGCTAATTGCAAATGCTCTCACTTTTTCCGTCAAGCACATTAACGGATCGACGCAATAGATAATAGAGAAAGCTAATAAATGGGTAATATGCGAATCGAAAGTAGACGCGTTGCGCGGATATTTCATAAAATTAATACTATTTTCTCGTAAAGATTGCGACGAGCGAGTGGCGGCAAACAAAATGATGCAACATGACGGCAAAACGACGCAAAACGCGGCAATACGATGTTAAACGAGACAAATCCGCAGAAAACGGTGTCTATCGGCAGTCGACCGATGCGCCAAGTTATTATCGCACATCAAGAGGCACATTAGTGCGCAAACGCTCGTTAAAAAGGGCGGGGAGAGGCCAAAAATTTTTAGTCATCACGTGTGATTGTTCGTGCGACAAAGTGCTTAAATCGCTATGCTAGACGCATTCCCACACAGTCCCATTTCGTACGTGGTGCTTCAGGAAAATAACGGCACGTAATCTTCCCGGCATACGTAATCCGGGCGCGCGTGTGCGCCAAATGTCGCAACACACGTCCCGCGCCATTAAAAGATGAAGATCGAGCGGAACCACTTTGCGCGGCCGGATAAGCCTGCGGGACCTGCGAGCCGCGCACTATTGTCTTAGGAAAAGCCCATAAGTCCATTTACGTGACTCTCGGTAATAATACCTGGCTCCTTCTCTCTATCCCACACCCCACCTCCCGACTTCACGCTCTCTCGCTCTCTCTCTCTCTCTCTCTCTCGCACTCTCGCACTCTCGCACTCTCGCACTCTCGCCACTGCCCGCCTCGCTCGTCCACTCCTTGCTCGGACGCCCCATCGCCCCTTCAACACGGCAACCGTCGGCATTCGTAATCTCGGCCCTCGAGACGCAACCTGCGCGACCCGACCCGGCGAATTCTCCCGGCTATCGGGAAGCGCACGCAGCTGAAAATTCCAGGGTTGTGTGTCTCTGGCCGGGGATAATGTAGCCCACGTAGGCGAAGATACAGGGATAAGGGAGAGGGGCCGAAGTCGGTCGGGGGCTTTTGGAGAGGCGCCAACGGGCGCCGGCCCCATTAGGCAAATCGCTTTTGGAAATTTTAATTACCCGAGGTGCGCATGCGGAAAAGACCGACCCGCTCGCCTCGAGATCTCGTTAGCCGTTCATTTTTCATGCATTTTCATGCGCGCCCACGGCTTCCTCCCCTAGTTTTAACCGACCTCGCGAGTCTTCCCGCCGACGGCTGCACGGCCGATTAATGATCGCCCGGGTCAGGTGCCAGAGGCCCTCGGCAAAGTGCAATTTGCTCGGCCGGCAATTCGTAGTTTGGACTCTCGGCGCTGCATTTCTGGCGCCGTGGGCCCGCGCAACCTCCAATTTACGCGCTCCTCGCGAGCGTCTAAGGGCGCGAGCCAAGGAAGACGCGGCGACAGACTATGTGTGTGCGAGTGTGTCTAAAAGAGCGAGCCAGAGAAAGAGAGAGAGAGAGAGAGAGAGAGAGAGAGAGAGAGAGAGGTAAAGAGATAAAGAGAGAACGATGAAATAAATCGGGCCTCGGTCCGTGTTTCTGTTGCAGGCGCATGTTCCCGTCGGTGCAGCTGTCGGTAAGCGGACTAGAGCGACGCTCGCGCTACTGCGTCCTCCTGGAGCTGGCCCCAGCCTCGGACCGCCGTCACAAGTATGTCGGGGGCTCGGAGGCCGGTCGAGGCACCCCGAGAGGCTGGACATCCGCGGGCCCGGCAGAGCCCCAGCCACCGGTCGAGCGCAGGCTCTACATGCACCCGGACAGCCCAGCCAGCGGCTCGCACTGGATGCAGCATCCCCTCGGCTTCTCCAAGCTCAAGCTCACTAACAACGTCGTCGAGCACCATAGCAACGTGAGTCCTGCTTCTTCACCCGGCCCCCGGTCTCTCGCCCTTTAATTACGAGGGATACGCCCACGTCTATGGCCGTCTGGGGTCTCAGCGACGTCGGCGCCCGGGAAAGCGCCGGCGCGTCCCAATGGCCACCTGCTCTCTCGGCCGCGATTCGACTCTTCTCCTCTTACTTTCGGGCATTGCTTAAGGACACGGCCATAACGGAATTCTCCTCGCTCGTACTACATTTTCGAGACGGAATGCCTCGGCTACTTGTGTGGCACGCTGTCGCGACAAGTAAATCACGTTTCGAGTTCACCATGTAAATCAACACGGGAACGGCCCCCTTACTACTCTCTACTACGTCCTCGCCCTCGCTTCATCCTCCCTCAATCTTACTCTTAATTCTTAACGCAATACCTTACTCGCACTTTCTCCCTATCTCCTCGCGCCTCGATTACCACACGATTAATTCGATGCGATTCTGCCCTTTCGCACGTACACTACAGCCCTCGGCTTATACGTCTACTCGAGATTGTCGAGCATCGACAAAAATTATTAGAATAACATAAATGTCGATCGCTAATATTGGCTACCATCGCCCGGGATTATATTGCTATTATGAGCTGGGATACGAAAAGGATAACAGCTAGTCCTTAGTTTAAATAAAATTTTTCGATAGACATTGTTGGCTGTGTTGTAAATCACATGGCCTCTTAAGCGTGAAATCGTTTCTAATTTTATAAAGGGTTCCTGGATGTTCCGAAGAATTTCTTTACCTCTATTTTCCTTTTACGCCAATCAGCCAAACAAATTCATCAATGTCATATGTCGCGTGGGAGGGGACGGATGGGTTGGGAAGGGTGAGGGTGATGGTGAGGGTGACGGTGGGGGGGGGGTAGAAGAGAGGAATGGCGACGACTTATTATGAGCGTGTGCCCCATCCGACATGAAATAACGCGCGTTTGTCATTCTTCGGCTCTACGCTGCACGAGGAAACGTTGTTCCATGTACCTTCTCCTTTGCCCATCATCGACGATCCTCACATTTTGAAAGCTACGAGCTCCAAGATGGATGCGACATGAAAGAGAATTCTTTTGGATTTCGAGATTTTCAATGATTTTGGTCTCGTTGTCTACTTCGACCGCCCATACGTTTTTGGAGGGAAAAATTCTTGTAATTTGAAGGACGTATGGGCTGGATTGAGCTTAAGCTTAAAAGCCGGGACTTTCTTCAATTATCTTTTACACAATTCATTACGCTCTAGATAAACTCGACGACGTACAAAATTATTATCGCGCATATCCATGTCTCATGGACTTTAATTGTCTCGGCTTCTGCAGTAAACCAGATAGGAGAATAAAATATAAATACACGTCTAAGCAAACAACGAGCCTGACACATGACGATGGCTTTACAATGTGCATGTTTGTACGCAGTCGTAGGTAAAAGGAAGGTAAGCGCAAGTGGAAAACGTTACACTCGTCAAAAGAGCCGACGGAAGATGCTACAACCGGGGCACAATGATAAATGATTAGTCTGTTCTCGTATACGGAAGTCGTGGAAAAGAGGAGAACGGTTTTTGCTGGCCAGGGCGATGGGTTCGTTTATCTCTGCGCACTACGAGGTATACACGCATACACTGTTGTTTGGACAGCTTTCCGTGCACTACCTCTCTATCCCCCCCCCCCACTCCGACCCCTCATTTCACTCACTTCCACGCGAACTATCTCTCTCACTGTGTTACCGTAGTTGGCGCGCGCTTCTTTTGGACCAGCTGGCGTGAACCGCACGTCCGCCGAAATCGTGGGAGAGGGCGGGAGGATGCGCCTGCACACAGACAAATAAGTCAAGTGTCCTGTTCGCTGGCTTTCGTACTCCTCATCCCGCTCCCCGCTTCCATGTGGGCGGTCACTCCTTCGTCCGCATTAGATTTCAAACTTTTAAGCGAACGATCGTTCCTTATCTCGTGCGCGCTTACTTGTCTCGAGCTTTCCGTTCATTTCACTAGAGTTTTGTTGAATTTTTATGATGAAATTGAGAGCGTTGATAGTTGGGGATTGCCGAGGAGTGAAAGAGAGAAGCGAAGAAACAAAATTACAAAAAAGAAAAGACAACAAAAAGTAATACGAGCGCAAATGACGAAGAAAATCCCTAGAATTAATTATTTTAACTCCAAACGAATTCTTCTAACTACGTTCGCGCGACAGAGCCATTAATCATAAGTCCTTTACTATTATTTGTGGTATGAATAATAAAAGTTAGTCTGGAGAAATTTTGCATCGCATTGTCTTTTCGCAGCAATGGACGATAAAATCGTAGTCCCGTAGCAAACATGCGATACAAGCACACAAGATACATCGTACAAGCACGAAAACAGCGTCAATGCGCCTCAGGCATTCAGCGAAATTGTCAGCTTTTTAATATTTAATCTCATCGGTTTGGACAGTTAGAAAGAGATTGTACATTGAACTTTTCTCCGGGGGGGGGGGGATTAGAATCAATGGAAGGTCGAGTAGGCGGGTGGAAGCGCAGAAGCTCATCGAGTCGGCTGAAATTTACCGTCGCAACAACGAAACGAGCCGGCATCGTCTCAAAACATCAAGATCTGCTCAAAGTCGTAGGGGGCAGCGAAAGAGTGATAGTGGCGCGTCGTCGCGCAATGCCAAATAGATTAAATCCGCGTGCGCCAAAGCCCATCTGTCAAAGCTCGCTTCGAGCGCAAAAAGTCGGGCTCCACGAGGCCGTAGTCGCGCCGGGCTTCGTCGGGCGGCAAAAACGCGCATCACCTTTCCCCGGTGCCCGCGCGTAAAAAGCTCCCCCGCATCGCCGCGCGGCCCTAATTTGTCGGGTGGCGCGCGCACACACAGCTTCCGGGAACGGATGCAGGGACTCGCCGAGCCGCGTTTTCGGGAATCGCGTCTCCGTGCGTGGGCCTGCCCGCGGCGCCGACTCGGATATATATCTGCGGGCGGCCCCGTTTGACGAATTCCGCAAAGCAATTATAATTTTAATAAAATTCCTCTGTCACTGTCGGCGCTCCGCGCTCACTACTAACCACCATCACCACCACCACCACCATCACCACCACCACCACCACCACCACCAGCACCACCACCACCACCACCACCAACCAACCGCCTGTCCATCGACTTTTTATTCTATCTTTTTATCTCTTGTCTCTTTCCTTAACCACCGAGTCTCTTCTCGGACAGCTCATCATTTTTAAAGACTCGCTAAAGCCGTGGCACTTTTTTTTTTGCGCCCTCGGTGTAAAACTGCCGTCCCTCCTAATTTTCTCTCGCGCACCATCCATTATTATGCACGATTACGCGCGCGGGTCGTTCATCGATCCCCCCCCCCCCCCACACGTGCGAAAGCCACACCCGGGATCGTTCGACATCGAGAACCATTACAACGATATATTACTTTTTTATTCATTATTTATATTTCATTTTTATTCAGCGAAATTCTATTATGTTGCTTTAGGTCCTCCTGACCTCCATGCACAAGTACATTCCGCGAATTTGGATTATTCGCTGCGACGATGTCACCAGTATGCGAGATTTGTACAACAATCCGTCTTCCTGCTTCACGTTCAGAGAGACGGAATTTATCGCCGTCACTGCCTATCAGGTATTTTGAAATATTTACATTTATCCGTTATCATAATTGTACGGTTGCATCGATTGCGTCAAATTCGCCAGCCGCGTTCGTGTAATTGACATTTCAATTCGCGTGCTAAACGACGCGCTGACAATAATTTGATATTTATTTGCAAGCTCGAGCCACTATCGTGACGAATTTTTGGAAGCGAAGGATAAACGGAAAATTAAAATTAATACAACGATCTTAAAAGATAATTGCCGATGATTAGTGATCGAGAAAAACGTGAAAACCGTGACATTTCACATTTCATTCAACACTTTATTCATAAATTCACACGCTTTATAAAAATTAATTCTACAAAAAGCCTTTGTTTGCCTATAAAGTCACATGAATGACATTGGCACGTGAAGCAGCAGCGTCCGATCATACTTTCACGAACAAGTATTTCGTCACTCAATGCCTTTGACCAAGCAAATTTATAAAACATACAAAGCAGACATGGCACCGCCGGTATAATTAACATAATTATTAGCGTGAGCTGCACCGACGCCTCGCAAACTTTCATAAAATGTAAACTAACCGCGGTAAAAACAGGATAAAGTAAAAGAAGAAAGAATGGTAGAAAAGTTTACACGTCAATTAGACGGATTGCATCCCAACTAATTTGCGCGCTTGCCAACTAACCGAGCTATAATCAATAAATCCACCGTTATATGATTGCAGAACGAAAACATAACGAAGCTCAAAATCGACAACAATCCGTTCGCCAAGGGTTTCCGTGAAAGTGGCCAATCGGCCTGCAAGCGGAAGCGCCAGCGACCACCCCACGAAGACACCGGTAGCTCCAACTCCGAGATCTCCCATGACGAGGAAGAGGGCAATGTCTCCTCCTCGGACTCGGATCATAACGATCACGAGGCACCCCTGACGAAACGCAGCCGGCATCGCGAGACCGAGGAAAACTGCTGCAGCGTCGCCAGCACCGAGAGCAAGCGTAACCCGACGCCGCCCCCCGTCGTGCCTTTAAGAACGGAGGCGGTCCCGAGGAGAGAGACCCAGCCGAGACTCCATAGGCCCTGGACGGACGACGGCGAGGAAGTAACGAGAATCCGACCCTCCGGCAACCCGAGCCAGCCGCCTTTGCACCAGCATCACCATCATCCGGACTACCTGGGGGTCCAACAGGCCCACTATCATCTTGTCGCTCTCGATTTGGCAAGAATGAGACACATGCAGCAGAGATTTGCCGTGGCTGCCCAGCATTTGCCCCCTTTAATGGACTTTAGGCAGTGAACCGCCTGTTGTCACGTAGCCGACAACGCGCCTCAACTTTAAAGCGATTTTCTCGCACATCTTCGCCACGAATTACCTGCAGCCACGAAGATTCCCTACTTTTACGAAATTTTCACTGCGCGTGAAGTTATTCCTCTTTGTCGTCTCCACCTTTCGTTAGCCACAATTGTCGAATGATTTCTTGATTGAAAATCACGCTCCTTCCAGAGCTGTCCTTATCGTTCCAAGAAATCATAAACGACCGTTAAAGGCCGTTACAGGCAGACGATTATTTAAGATGGAGAATGTCAGTACAATATACGAGTGACCAAACTACAAGCGACGATCAAATTTAGACGAAATATTAGAAGAAATTGCCATCTAAAGAGCAATATTTTTATATTCTAGTTATACTGTGAGAGCTAATTTCTTCTACTATATTAAATATGCTTTTGTCCTTGGCTGTACGAATAATTAAACAAAAAAAACAAAAACAAAACAAAACAAAACAAAACAAAAAACAAAACAAAAACAAAAAAAAAAAACAAAAAAAAAACAAAAAAAAAACGAAAACAAAAAGAAAAAAAAAAGAAAAGAAAAAAAAGAAGAAAGCGTATAGTAAGTTTTTATAAAAATTGATGTAATTATTATTTGTATGCACACGTTATATGTAACAGACAAGATATATCCAGTTCATATATTTAAAAATTAGAAATTACAAAATATTTGCATTTGTAATACGTGCTAATAAGTAAAATCGGTTAATAAGTGTCATTGGAATAATACAAAAATACGCATAAGATTATTTGTATGATTATATGATGAATTGAACATTGTGAAAAATGTCAAATAATGGTGGAATAAATTTTATAATTATTACAAAAGTAACGTTATTCTTTTGTATTATTGCAAGAAGTTAATTTATATTCTTATTGATTAATCGTATCAAATTGCAAATTTGTACTTCGAAATACTAAATGCATATTTACATTTCTTAAAGTGTGATGTCCGTCTAGAACTTTCTCTAGGAAAAATAGAATTGTCGGTACCTTGCCCAACAAATCATTGCACACACACTCTTATTCATATACGTAGTTTAAAATTTCAAAAATTGATAAAATGAAAAATGAGAGCTCTTTAGTTTTTTCTTTCGTTCTTTCTTCTTCTTCTTCTTATTATTATTATTATTACTACTATTATTATTATTATTATTGTGTTATTTTTTTATTTTTTATTTTTTATTTTTTATTTCTTTTATCGCGCTCACTAATTATTTATGGATATAATGTTTAAGTATCATTAAATGTATCGTAGGATTAGTATTGTGTAGACAGGAAATTTAAAAGATTAACTTTTAAAGTTGTGATTTACTCTTTATTACTCTGAAGAGCTATGCATATGTACATAAATTAAAATGTAAATAAATATAATTGATAAGCAAATCAAAGCTCACCATAAAGCGGTGGCTACTATACTTTTAGTTTTTTTTTTTTCTTTTTATACATTTTTATACATTGATCGATTCCTAAAACTAATAGAATTATTATATATTTTGTAAATAAGTACGCGCGAATACAAAAATAAATCTGCATAGATTTACATGTAAGACGTCTTCTATTGTACAAATAAATCGATTCGAAATAAGAAATTGTTATTGTTAAGGTGATATTAAATTGAAAAAAGTTACCGTACATTACTTTGATGAGTCATTGAAACCAATAAAAGTTATTGCATATAAACATTTGTTCATTTATTCTGTCCAATTATAAATATTACCCCTCAGTCTCGTCGATTTCGTTATTAAAACATTCTTACAGTACGACTTTCCTTTTAATTAATTCTTACAGTACGACTTTCCTTTTAATTAATTTTTAATAGTTTCATTCTACTATTTAATAATTAAGGTTCTGAGGTACTTATTAACTTTTCATTATTATTTGTTATTTAATTATTTTCAATGCTATTTCAATTATGTAATTATAATAAAGATTTTTGTAATTTTATTTTTAATATAAAATTTATATTATTATAATAAGAATTGAAAGAATTATATTTTTCTTATATTTATAATAATTCTTATTACAATAAGAAAAATGATGAGAAATTATTCTATTGTTCCATTTAATTTTTTTTTTTTTCTATTTCTTATTCGATTCATTTTGAGCATAAAGTTAAATAAAACAACAGTATTAATTGCAATGTTAAACATTTTTTGACAATCCGTCTTATTATCTGTCTATAACAATATAATTTTCGTTAATATAAAGTGACATTGTGTGTTTATACTTCAGTTCTTTCCTTCTAACAAAATTAAAATATCAAATAATAACAATACTTCTGCGCTTATTACTAAACGTTAATTAATTATTAATACGAATTAACGTTTTACCTTATTTCTATTAGTTTTAAAAGAACTATCGTATACACCGTTATCGTATACATCGAATGTATATAAATTTTATAGATAATAACAAATTTTTACATCGTCTATAACATATAATACCGAATGATCACGTTAAAATTGTTATTGATATATAATAAAGCGTTAAAGCTTTCGAGAAATTTATAGAAATAAACTAAATGTAATATTATAATTAATCAAAATATTAGAAATTTTCAACATTGTTTTCCATACAAATGATTATTACGACCAAGCCCGATAAAATTATTAAAACATCTTAATAATTTAAATGGTATTGCACTAGTTGTTATAAAAGTTATTGTCAATAATAATAAATTACAATATAATTCTTAATGGTTTAAAAAGAATTTTACAATCATGGTTAAGCGATGTCATGATATTTTTGAAAAAAAGAATACTGAGAAAAAATTAAATATCAAATTAATTCATTACACATCTTTTTTTATTAAGTATTAAGTATAATAAAACTGATGTTAATGCCGTAATAAAAATTTCTTTATTCTTTTAGTGAAATATTTTATGTATGAACCTTACGTATTTCAATATAAATTATTATACTTGAAAAAAAATTTTGAAATGATAATTTGTATTTTACCATAAGTGTAGTCAATATTCTCTCAATATAACAATTATTACATTGAAATAATGTAATCGTTATAGTCATATATTGCATCTTTTGTGTATATATATATATATATATATATATATATATATATATATATATATATTGATAGAAATAGTATTTATTTTAAATGAAATAATAATAATTATAATAAAACACCTATTTCGTATTTTTATCTTAAAATTCCAAAATGAATTCTGTACTTGCTGAGGTAACATTTCATATATTATTATTTTACAATCATGTAAATTAAAATTTTATTTGTATAAACGCATTCAAGTATCCCCCTCCCCTTATAAATATAATAAATAAATAATGGCAAAGCTATTTATTTTTAAAAAAAAAAAAAAAAAAAGAAAAACATTAATTAATTTACGACCAAAAATAATAAATCTCTTAAGGAAATCAATTCAATAATCCATAAGGTACGTAATTTTTTTTTTAATTTTAATAATTAACTAATTATGTGCATGTTACGAACGAATGTTCCTCAATTTTTGTCTAAAATATTAGACAAAATCAGCATATTAAGGTTATTCATTAAGGCTTCTTACTCATTTAAAAATGTTCAAATATAATATTATTTTAAAATATAATATTTATCTAAAGTCATTCCGAACACTCGAAGTCACCCATATGAAGGACGAATGAACCGAGTCTTCATCTATTTCTTACTATTTCCGTTTAAAATTCTTTGAAAAGCATTTTAATTTGTTTGTCACCGTGCAAATCCGTATGTTCAAATAAAGCGAAGAAAATTCTTTCGTTCCTTCGTTAAGAGCTTGCTTCCCAGTAGTCTCTCTCTCTCTCTCTCTCTCTCTCTCTCTCTCTCTTATCGCCTGCATTATCGCAGAGTCAACAAGACGTTATAATCGACGAGAGTTGGTCAAAGGGTCAAGTGGATTCAGATGCAGCATCTCTCGTCACCCCGGCCTTCGTGATACTTGGGGCAGTAGGGCGGGTCGTAGCTGTTGAGGCAGAACGAGCCCCGCGATCCCTTGGGCGTTTGTTGTCCAATGACCAGAAGCTCCCCGGAACGCGGGGCTATCCTCGGCCCGGAAGGACATCGCCTCGAACATGGCTCGGCTACCATCTCCTCGTCGCCGTCGACGCTCTGCGCCATGTAACAGACCGCCCACACATGGCTGCAAAGTTGCTCGTTCGTGCGATTCTCGCAGAACGGCTGTAGCTTGCCCCCGTTCACGCAGAAGTCCACGTGACCGACCTTTCCGAGCTCTCCTGCGGGCACAAATTTCGTTACGCATGCTTCTCGCTTACTTACCTCCTGGGTTGCGCTTCCCTAAGCTCGAGCGCTCTTAACGACCGTCCCCACCGTAATTTTTCACACTGAATGCATAAAGTACGCCCCAGGAATTCGTTTATTGCAAGCTTTGACCTGCTTTCGTAAAGCAATGCTGCCTTTACTTTAGGACGTCCTGCCGGCTCTTAATATTTGCAGGTTACCGAGCACTGCTGCTTATCCGCCAAATGTAATTACCATTTGTGACATGAAACGCGCGTTAATCTTTATTTAGTTATTATAATAATTTATGTGGCTATTGAGGGGAAACTAGAAAATTTAGTTAATAGAAATAAAAATAGGTGCTACATTCGATAGGCCGAGTTGTCTAGTTGATTTTTAATTTAGTGCATTTGCACGCAAAGAGTATTCAATTTTAATTTATTGCTTTGTTTTTGTTGTTGTTGTTGTTGTTGTTTTTTTTTTTTGTTTTTTTTTTGTTTTTTTAATTCTCTAAAATCCCATTACGACGATACACATTATTATCAAATGATAAAAGATAGACATTTTTTTGCAAATGTATAAACGTATCGAAAATACAAAGCTATTATAATTAATCTATAATATCTAATTATAATACACCTAATAGTACAATCAAAATAGTTTAAAGAAAGCTTAAAAATCAATAAAAACATCAATTCGTTTTCAAATTGCGAATAATTATTTTAATCATTTATCTAAACTAAAAAATAAATACTCTCCTACAGTTATACAATTTCCTTCTTTCACGAAGGAAATAAAAGAGCAAATATGTTCACGGATATTTGTCGATGCCCTGCAAAAAACAATGGCCAATTGTAATAAAATCAGAAAAATTTTCTCTCCCTACATCATTGTAACATCGAGAAAATCTCGTGCCACATTATTTAAGTAAAACACTTTCAACTTAAACAAATATGTAACATACGATATTATATTATAAGTTTAAAAGTACATTCGAGGTGATAAAATCACATTTTTTAAACGACAATTCGAATAGAGAATCAAATTAATCGCGATGCAACTCGCGTCTCCTTATCCGATCAACTTATTAAACATTTTGTCAACAATGGCGCACTATTTTTTGCGCCTGAAATTCTCATCTCTGCATATTAAACTCAAGCCAAGTGTAATTGTGGCCCAAAGAGACACGTGGCATCGGCCAGCCAAAAACATCCTTCTAATGAATTTGAAAGTAGGACAAGTCGCCGTACTCCTAATTCCTAATTCGCTTAGACAGAGCCGAGTAAAATTTCGACATCGCCGTGTTGTTATTTTTCGTCGTATTCCGGAGGGCACGTCCACTGTGGATGGGGGGTCGACGCGTACGTGCCCCGGAGCGCGACTCGATGGTCCGGCACATCGGGTCGATTGGCACTGAATGCGAGACGCGTCCGATTTGCCGGTGGTGATGGGGAGTCGAGCGCCAAGGCGATACCCACCGTAATAGCCGGCGTTGGTATGAATGACCTCGACGAAGTCCGCGTCCCCGCTGTCGAGTCGATTGACGAGGCCCGGCCTTATGAGAGGCCTCGCCGGGTCCAGGGCCACGATTCTGCTCATACGGAACAGAAGATAGTTGGCCATAATGCCACAGATGTGGGCGCCAAGGGAGTGGCCGACGCAGCTCGTCCTTTCGATGGGCAGCCCATGGTTACGCAGACTGGTGAGGACGACGGCGAGGCACCGGGCGACCGGTCTCATGTTGGACACCGCCGCTGGGTAGCACGGGGCAGCGCAAAGCTTGCCCCAGTCCACGAGGAAGACGTTGTAGCTGCCGTTACGGAGGTAGGCGTCTCGCAGTACAGCCATCGGCAATGCGTCCTCGCCACCTGTTAACGACGAACGTCATCCCCGAGACGATTGGATATTATTTCATTGCCCTATTATTTCATTGCTTTACGCCCTATCTCTCTCTCTCTCTCTCTCTCTCTCTCTCTCTCTCTCTCTCTCTCTATATATATATATATATATATATATATATATATAGTAGTTCTTAACGTTGTCGCTACACTACCGATATTTGTGTTTGACCTTGTGTTTTTCGGAGCATTGAAATCGACTCGATTTCATCAATTTGTTAAAAGTAAGTTATTTTCAAGTCGTCATCCTGCACGACGTATTTGCAAGCTTGCAATGTTCGTGCTTTTATTTTTGTAAACATTGAACCTTGAAAGTCGAGGACCTTTATATTTAAAGCAAATATTTATATTGCAATTTATAAAGGGATTTCAATTGTTTCAAATTCGAAAAGTTAATGTCTTCCAATGCATACAGCGAGGAGGGATATTTATTTTTAAAAAATCATCCGTAAAGAGACAAGCAAATTGATTAAATGGAACAAATTGAATTTAAGCACGAATATAATCCTATGTATTATTGACGCTATGCTAAATTTTATAATAAACAATATATTGCACGAATTATGCATTATAGTATGGGTGAGATCGAGGCCATTGCTTATTTATGCATGGAATTGCATTCTCAATTGAAATAATGACGAGTATTTATGCCAATCGATTGTATAGCCATAATCTTATACTCATTATATACACCGACTGGAATTACGTCTAAATACTATAGCCCCATAATGATAATGTTTAAGAAATACACGAGATAAAGCATAGGTTAAGCCGTAGTAATGATTTTATGATTCATTTCTTAAGAATTCACATGTACAATTATTAACGTTTATGCCCGATGCATTCACATAATTCAATACCAAGAAGTTCTCTTGATAAACGTCAATCAATGCATAATTAATATAAGCTTATTAGCTATCGGCCGCGGGAGGAGCGGGTTGGGGGGGGGGGAGAAAGGACTGTATTTAAAAATATAAAAACGCCGATGACCGAAGGAATAATTAAAGGAAAATCAATGGAGTCGGATAGCGAGCACAACAACGAACGAACCTGCGTATCCGTGAATGAGAACGACGTTCTCCTTGGTCGACTCGTAATCTTGTCTGAGCCAATCGGACACGTGCGAGGGATCGAGTTTCCTTCTCGGGTTGCCCGGGGTGAAGAGGTGGATGTGGACGTCGGGGTCGGGACAGGAGTCTCGATCGTTGCCCCGACGCCATGTGCACTCGTCCTTATTGTACTCGGCTGCGGCGCCGCTTTCGATCGCCTCCTGGATGGGGCCGCGCGCCTCGCACTCCGACAACAGTGGTCCGGAGAGTTGGAGGAGCGCAAGGAGCGCAAGCGAGAGATACGGCGTCATCTCCTGCGAGTGAAGGCATATAATAATGAGAGGCGAAGAAAGAAAATTTTTGCGAATGTCCAGCTGTCAATGGGGGCGCGTGAAAGCGACTTTCGTTACAATTTCTCTGCGCTTCTCCGCCCCTGTTAATCTTGACAATTGCACAAGTGTTGGATACCCGGATAAGTGTGCTTGTGATAATAGAAAGCCGAAATCATGATTCGAATGCTTGTACGCTCGTGTAGGTATTTTTCATAAAAGTTGGAAGGCATTCAAGATTTCGGCGAGTAGGTATGTGCCTCACCTGTTTCTCGAAATAATGATTCGACGAGGATACCGAAGGCATTTTCGACGATTGGACTACTTTCTAATGCGAAAATATTTTCCTTTTTTCAAATAATATACTTCGGAGTGGAATAATTAGTGGGCAACCGATAATCATTGGATCAAACGTGTATCGTCAAAGCTTCAACTATTCATAAATTTTACGAATATAATATAAATAACGATTATCAAGAGCAACATTAATATAAACAATGCGCCAAACTATTAAGGATAACTAAAGTAAATAGTCTAAAGATATATGAATATACTATCATATTACTCTGTTATCTCAATATTTTTTTAGTACTCCCGTGTATAACAATAGAATTAAATAACGAAAATTAACGGACTTTTATAAATAGCTCTAAATTGGCAAATAACGAGTCTCTGCAAGTTTTACATCTATTATTTGTAAAAAATAACATATTTAAATTATTTCATATTTATTTACAATTTGTTTTTTATTATATTATGTAAAATACTTACGTTTTAAAAACACTTGGGAATTGCAAAAACAAATTATATACCCGAAACACTAAAAATGTCAAGGTTATTCTTAATTTTAAACAAAAAAGGTATAATTTTACGTAACAGTACGTAAGAAGTAGGTATATATATATATATATATATATTACAGACGGTTAATTTTTTATGTGAAATTTTGGCAGAACTAAAAAAAGATTCGACAAACAACTCAATCGAGTATCATTTACTTAGCACATTTTAATTGGACCGTAATGAAATCTTTATACGTCCTGGAATGTTACAATTAAAAAGAGAGAAAATAGAAAAGAAATTATATATATATATATATATATATATATGTATATATATATATATATTCAACAATATAATAATAGAAACAAAAAAAAGTAAGTTATATTTATGGCATAAAATTTTGCAAAATCATAATAATTAAATTTAGTATATTTTAAAACAGTTTAAAACGATTTTATTGAGATTTTACAAATAAATATTGTATGTGCATCAATGTATATTGTATTTAACATTTAAAATATATTTTTAAAAACATATTCAATATTACTTAAAATAAATATAGTAAATGTGAATTATTCTATATTTTTGTGATTTTTTTGCGAAAAATCGGATAGTTATTCTATTTAAATTTATCAAAGTGGAACATAAAATTACATTGTAGTGCAAAAATTTCTGCAACAACAAAGGCCTTGAACTGACAAAAAATTGTAAAAATATGACACTTATAATGTTAATCAATTTAATAAAGTACAAGATTTATATGGAAGTATTATAGTTGTATATTCAAATGCATGTCAATGCAGAAATTAGAAACAAAGTGTTTAGAAAAAGCGTGCTAATAAAAATCCTTACTATTTTAAATATGTATTTTGGAAGAAAGTAAATCTATTTCTTTATAAGTTCCTTTCCATTATATCGAATATTTTTACAATTTAACTACTTCGAATAATGCACTTATTTTATATTGATTATCCCGATTTTTTAAATAGATAATTTGTATTTTTATAGATTTCTGTCGATAAAAATTAAAAAAGAAACTAACAAATTCCGTATGCAATGCAGAGTTATAAATTTTTTTTAAGATTTTAGGTTTTTATTAGCAATAAATTGTTATTTACTTATAATGAAATTATTATTATGTCCTGAGAAATTTAATATGTAATAGTGACAAATAAGTTTCATTTAAAAAAAAAAGCAAATAAAGGCAAAATTACTTTCGTCCTGCGTACATTACAAAAATAAAAAAGCTTTTTTAATCGATTAACGCATCAAAAAAAGCAAAAACCCACTTATCCGAATCATGATATGGTTTATTAATACATTATCTTCCTTCAATTTTTTTACCCTCTCTGTGACTTGGAATAAAAATGTTTTCAAATCCATTAAAGATTTTAAAATGCATAATCACGAGGTAAAAAGTAAGAAAAACAGAATACACAAGATAATAATTTTTATCCGATCTTATAGGCAGATAAAATACAAAAAAAGAAAAAAGTTGAACGGACACTGTAACAAAATTACCGAACATCCATTCGGAAATGCAATTAATACCATTTAAAAGGTAATTCCCAGCCCATATCTACGTTGTATGAGTTAATGAGGAAAAAGAAAAATAACTAAAGCGTTGAATTCGTATTTACCCTTTTCAGAACCATAGTCGAGATCGCTTATTTTTTTCTTCTATCTTCTTGTTCGCTCTCCTGTCCTCAAAAGAGCGAAGAAAATAAAAAAAAAGAGCAAAGCCCAGCGAAATGACCAAAATGAAAAAAAAAAAAAAATAAAAATAAATAAATAAATAAAAAAACGAAAAAGAATAAAGAAATAGAAAAATAGAAAGAAACAAGGAGAGAGCGCACGCAGCCACGACGAAGAGAGGACAGAAGCAAAGGCGCGCGCGATTCCGCGACGATTCGGCGACTAATGACCGTGGAGCGGTGTAAGCCAGGATCTTGTGCCTCTCTCTCTCTCTCTCTCTCTCTCTCTCACACACACACACACACACGCACACACGCACACACGCACACAGACTCCTTATAGCGCCACAGTTTTTCAACCTGGGCCCGCGGTCGCCCCTACCCGTCCCTTTCGTCACGCGCGCACTGTACCGTTCTTCCCGTTGATGATGCGCGCGTCCGACGGCGTCGCGGGTACCGTTGTGT